ACGGTAGCATTCAATCAGGAATAAACATAACGATAATATCGCCGCATCTGGTCGAAAGTTGGTCCGAATACAGTCACTAATGACCAGGCGTTCTCTAAGTTTTTCCAAAATTTAATACAGTCTGTAATGACCAAGCGCAGGTAGCGTACAGCCGGGATGATATAACGATGATATCGACGCATCTGGACGAAAACTGGTCCAAATACAGTCTAATTCATGACCAGGGGTTCCATTCCCGTGAGGATGGGAGCATGCATACAGTAGGGAGCATGTCCCTTTAATACCAAACAAGGTCAATTTAAAAAAAAAAAAAAAAAAAAAAAAAAAAANAACGATGAAGCCCACTATCGGTCTCGACCGTCATCGATTGACATAAGGCCTCGCTCCATTACTCACGAAATGTGCACAATGCGAATGAATCTTCCGCTAGAACACGGGAAGATACACCGCCATATTTTTTGTCTTTTGTGCATGTGGAGAGCAGTCCAGCGACGCGCATAATTGGCATCCACCGTGCCTGATAACATTTGTACATTAAAATTAAAAATAATAATAATAATAATAATAATAATAAAAATAAAATGCAGTGCGCACTGCGGCGAAGCGTGGCGCGGCGCACTACCCCCCGGGGGAGCTAAAAAAAAAAAAAAAAAAAAAAAAAAAAAACACTCTTTAGTGGTCGGCCCGTTCACCATGAACGGCCGTTCACAAAAAAAACACCAAATGAACGGCCGGTCACGTGTGCGATAAATCCAGCATAGAGAACTGACAAGCTCTCGAGCGAAGCTAAGTAATGCTCTAAAAAATAACTGGGTTGAATTGTGAGGTCCCCGGCCTTAATTTTATTTATTTATTTTAAATTATTTATTTTTTCCGTTTTTGACATCAATGTTTTCAAAAACAATAACCAATTCCCCGGAAAAAAAAAATAAATCGTATTTTGTGAAGAAAAAATAAAATCCAACGTATAGAAGACTGACAGTCGGAGCCGAGGTCCCACTACCGTCCTCACCCGAATAGAACGCCTGGTCATTATCGCTGTATCTGGACCGAAAGTTGTGCCAAATACAGCTATAATGACCGGGCGTTCTATTCGGGTGAAGACGGTAGCAAAAAGGATAGGATCGAGCTCGTGAATCTGGATGTGTCTTAAGCAGAGATGCAGAAAAGCAGTTCAATCTCTATTTCCTGCACATCTCCATACACTCGTCCAGATTCAGGCATTTGATCCGCGATACTCTTTGCTAGTGGGACCACGCCCCGGGTAAATATTGATGAATGAATCATAAAAGTTAAATACACGAAAAGAACTTGGCCATAATCATCGTACAAATACCTTTCTCGACCTTTGGGCTTAAAAAAAAGATAGAGTGCGCTAAAAAAAAGATGAAGTGCAGTATCTGTACTGATCAGTTGAATATTTTTAGTTGAATATCTGAACCGTAGTCCATCCGCCCATTAAAAAAAAAAAACGTAAACACAGGAAAAGAACTTGGCCACAATCATCGTAACAGTACCTTTCTCGACCTCTTGGCTAAAAATAGATCAACTGTCGTACCTCTTCTGATCAATCTAATATCTGCTCCGTGGTCCATCGGACAATCCCTCCCCCCTCTCTCGACCTCTTCTATTCTCCAATTCCTGAGTCTACTACCGTCTTCATCCTAGTAGAAACCCCGGTCAGTATACCTGCTGTATTTGGGGTCACATTCAGTCCAGACGCAGCGAATCCGGAAATTCGTCTAGTAGGCAGACAATTGTCACCCTCTCTGGAAAATTAGGGTTTTTTCAATCACAGCTGCACTCTTACTATCTGGGCTCCTACTCTCCAATTCCTGAGTCTACTACCGTCTTCACCCCTGTAGAACCCCCGGTCAGTATACCTGCTGTATTTGGGGTCACATTCAGTCCAGATGCAGCGATGTTGAGCGGGCGTTATATTCGCGTGAAACGGGTATCAGACATCGTGACAGCAGATGAAGACACGTGGTCATCACTGTTTTGTCCGCCCC